AACCTTAAAAACACAGCAAAGTAAATTCAAAGAAAATACTATATAGCAAAGGAATTCATAAAAATAAGAGATAAAGGCCAGCTAGGTATGGTAGTGCATGCCTGTAGTCTCAACATTCATGATGCTGAGGCAGTGGGATTGCCACAAGTTCAAAGCCACCCTTTAGTATGTAGTGAGCTCTCAAGGCCAGCCTGGACTACATAGTGAGATCCTGTTTCAAACCACCAACAAAAAAAAAATCACAAGAAAAATCAATAGAGAAATCAACAAAGATAATTTTATCATTAAAATGATAACCCTAGTTTAAAAGGAAATTAAATTTTAATAGGGGACAAGAGTACTAATTTTTTAAAAGTACAATGGACAGAATTATACATTTGAGAACTCTGATGAAATGGGGAAATTCCATGAAAAAACTTAAAAACCCATAGCTGAGCATGGTAGTGCACGCCTGTAATCTCAACACTCAAGGGGGCTGAGGCAGGAGGTTCACTGTGAGTTGGAGGTCAGGCTGGGCTATGTAGTGAGTTCACGACCAGCCTAGACTACATGGACTATCCTGTCTCAAAACAAAAACCAACAAGATATTAAAAATCTGAAGTCATCTGTTTAATTGAATTTATAAATAAAATATTGCTGAAAACAGCTAAGCCCAGAAAATATCACTGATTTTTTTCTAAACATTTAAGCAAAATGCTAATCTTAAACTGATACAGAGTATAGAGGGGATTTTATAAGGCAAGCATAACCCCAGTGTTAAACTGGATGAAGATAAGAAAGAAAAGTTATAGGCTAATATTTCTTATGAACATAGATGCAAAAATCCTAAACAAAGCCTTAGCAAATTAAATCCAACAATAGGTAAAAATTATAATGATCAGATCTAATAAGTTTTTTTTCAGGAAGGCAAGGTTGTTTGTGTATATGAAAATCAATGTAATTTAGCACATTGACAGAATGGACCAAACCTAATGAAATATGCACCGGACCTCTCTACTGTTACTTAAAAGACCACCTTATAAGAGTGCAATACAAAAAGTAATTAAAATAATTGACAGGAGCCAGGTGTGGTGGTACATGCCTATAATCCCAGCACTCGAGAGGCTGAGGCCGGAGGATCTCTGTGAGATCAAGACCAGCCTGGGCTACATACATAGTTCAAGGGCAGTCTGAACTGCATAGTGAGACCCTGTCTCAAAAAATAAAATAATTGACAGGAAAGGAAGGACAGGAAATAAAACATATAGTAGATATCATAATTAGTGATTGAAGAGTCACAGGTTTTTCTCCAAGATGGAAATAAGCTAAACATGTCTTCTTTTACCAGTTCTATTTATCATTGTACTAGAGAAGATTATGGCTACTACAGTAAAGCAAGAAAAAGAAAGTATAATTGAAAAAGAAAAAGATTGTCATTATTTGAATTGAATTGATTTTTTTGGTTAGATTTTGTTGATACTGTTTTTTTTTTTGTTGTTGTTGTTGTTGTTGTTGTTGATACCCAGGGCCTTTGCACTGAGCTACCTTGCCAAAGCTTTTTAAATTTTTAAATTTTGATTTAGGGTCTTGCTAAGATGCTAAGTAGCCCAGGCTGGGCTCAAACTTCCAGTCATCTTGCCTCAGCCTCCCAGAGTTCTGGGATTATAGGCTTGTGCTCCCATACCCAGCATAAACCAGCTTTATATGTAGAAAATTATTAGTGGGAATAGATAAATGTAGAAATGTTGCTGGATGGAAAGTCTGTAGGAAAATTATATATATAAGCAGCAGTTAGAAAACGACACAAAATATTTTATTTAAATAGCAAATGAGGAAGAATAAAGATAAACAAAGTATTTGTGTAGAAGAGTGTAAGATTTACTGTGAGAAATTAAAGAAAACCTGAAAAAGATAGTGGAACTTATGGTGTTTTTAAATTAAAAACTTAATATTGTGAAAAATCTCAGTTCCTCCAAATTTTCTGTAAGTTTAATTGTATCCCAGTCAAAGTTTCAGGAAGGTGTGTGAGTGAAACTTGAAATGCTGATTCTGAAACTTAAATAGAAATTCAAAGGATCAAGAATAATCAAGACAGTCTTGATGAAGAATAACAGAGTTGAACTTACATCACCAGACTGCAGTACTATGAAGCTTCATAATTAAAACAGGAGCAGAGACAGACAGTCAGACTAATGGAACAGAATAGAAAGTCCAGAAGCCCAGTGGTGCCTTGGTTCACAAATTCAGTTCTCTCCATGATTCTGCTTGCATACTGAACTGGACAGACCCATATCAGATTTCCCCATAGGTCAATGTTGAACCTAACCATTGAGTTTGATTTGGTTCTCATCCAATTCAGTTTGTGACCAGAATTGCGGAAAGAATCAATTTTGTGAACTGACTTGCCACTGTATATCCAACCCGACACTCCCTTGCATATATTTATGACCTGAGTACTGTTGTGATTTGTGCCCCTTGAAAATAAGGTGGTCACTTTTGGGATAGGAAGCAATTTTCAAGAAAAAAAATGTTTTCAAGGGGCCAGAGCTATTTCTTACCTATTAGCTATACCTGTTCCTAGTATTCCAGGCTTTGTTATTCAGGACATTAATTTTATTGTCAAAACAAAACATGAAGCTGGGCGTGGTGAAACACGCCTGTAATCCCAGAACTCAGGAGGCTGAGGCAGGAGGATCGCTGTGAGTTCAAGACCAGCCTGGGCTACATAGTGAGTTCCAGGTCAGTCTCAACTACATAGTGAGACCCTTTCTCAAAAAACCAAAACCAGGGGCCAGGGAGTTAGCTCAGTGGTTCTGCCACCTGCCTCACAAGCGCAAGGACCCGAATTTGATCCCCAGTACCCAGCCCCCCAAAAAACCCAAAACCAAATAAACAAACAAAAAAACACCTGAGGTAGGAATTTGGCATAAGCTGCATTTTGGCAGTCTGAAGCATCATCGTGTCTACTTGTGCAAATTCAGCTTCATTCACTTTCAGGGTATGGATGTAATGTAAGTACTTTAATTTGCTGCAATGCAACCCATTAATCTATATCATCAATACACACTAATAAAAATATGAAACAAAACAAAAATATTGAAAAAATGGAAGCAATGTAGTTTGTCATCCAGTGACCATGAAATTGAGTGGGAAGCATGAAATGAGAAATGCATATTTCAGTTCCACTTGGTTTCCGTGTATGTCTCATGGTGGGATCCTTTTGCTTCACTTGGTAAGATTCTGGGTTTTTTGTTGTTGTTACAAGATAGTGTACACAAAATAAAAATGATCTCTGGTGATCACAGTAGAGGAAATAGCTTCTAGTGAAGTCGGGAGGGAGACAGTTGTGTTAAACTTTCCAAGGCAGTATATGTAGTGGGCTCTTTGAGCCAGCCAGAAGACTTGGGTTCAGATCCTACCTCAACCCTCACTCTCTGTGTGGCTTGGTCAGGTAACTTAGTCTTTTGTGCTCATTGTCCTTATCTGTAAAATGGAGATACAGTAATAATTCATACATACAGCACACAACTCAGAGTTGTTGTGACAAGTAAGTGACTAACCTATAAACCATAGCTGGTGCAATCACTGTTTTTATTATTATTTTTGTTATTGTTACTGTTGGTGGAGGTGGCACTTCTCCATGGTGGTACCTGCTTAATGAATTTTCAAGCGAAACTGAATCTGACTTCTCACTCTGCATCTTATACTTTAGAATCCAGCCCATCATGAACTGTGATTCTACTGTACATGACTAGTTTCTTTTTCTAGGGCTTGGTTTTTAGGAAACTGATGGGTGTGGCTGATTGTGGAATGGTCATATTGCATGGAATATGGCTACTAGGGGCAGGCAGACCTGTGGACTGGTCAAGAAGAATTATCTTAGAAGCAGTGTAGGCATGCAGATTCCCTGAAATATATGTTTGCTATTATGTATTTAAGCTACCAGTATTTTCTTATGCACAAAGATCCTTAGGTCTGTCCCTTTTCACTAGAGCGTACATTATAGAATGGTGTCTATGCATTCTCTTCTCTGGTCCCTTGATATTGCTACAAAAGTCTGATCCAGTTTCAGGGTTCAGTTTTCCATCCCTGAGCCATGGATGTTCAATTTACCCTCATAGTTACCTCAGGGAATGTTGAGGAACTTCATAGGTGGCTTCTGCCAGCTCACCCCTTCCCTCCGCATACACAGAGGCACACACTCTCTTATTTACCTTCCAGGACTGCCAGAATTGAGACAGAATTGTCCTGACCTCAGCTTCGTGCTCCTCCTCCAGAAAGGCTGCTTTTGCTTTTCAGCTGTAACTCCGCAGCACTGAGGTGAACTCACTACTGCTCAGGGTGCTCTCAGTGGCTCCTGGCCTCTGTCACTCAGATCCCTTCTGTGCTGGCAGCTGCTGTTTTCTGTAAGAGGCATTACTGTTGTCAGCCAGGTTTTGTTGCTTCTCTTTTCTTTTCCAACTGTGGCTTCTTCGCTTTTGCTCCAGAAATACTGGTCACTTATAGACTGTACCAGCTAATGAGCTCTGTCTTTCTGCCAGGTGTACAGATATATCCAACGAAATGGGTTCTGTCATGCAGCTTTTTTGGCCATGTTGTTTGAGGCTCAAATCTGAGCTTGTTTGTCGCACCAGAGAGGGTTTAGTGTCACACATTACGGACATTAGAATTAGAAGGATCTGGTGATCAGCAGGCTTGGTAGATTAGAGGGCTGGCTGGCCTTCACACAGAACTACTTAGAATCACTTTCCCAAGTTCATTTCTTAAAAAAACCAAGGAAATAAAAGATTAATGAATTCTGGTTCAGAGAATTTGTAAAGTGTGTCAAACAGCTTATGAATGTACAAACATTGAATATTTCATAGTAGTGACAAAATTATTGTGCACTTGTATGTTGCTAATTGAGGAATTTTGAAAACATTTACATAATCAGGTGACACTTTAGACTTTACCTTTCAAATTATAATTATACTAAAATGTTAACAGCATCTTTTTTGTGTGTTTTTTTCCTTTCTTTCTAGAATATTTTCCTTCTTGGATATAGTAACTCTGTGCAGATGTGCACAAATTTCCAAGGTAGTGTATTCTCTGGATCTTTAATAATTACCAAGTTTTATTGGAATAAGGATGAGCATTAGTTCAAATTAAATGCTTAAGCTTAAATGTCATTTTCCTTTGTATTTAACATAATGTCATAATTCTGTGTTTGATTATTAACTTGATATATATCAAGAATAAAAATTTGGAAATATAAAAATTGCAAATATTTTTTAACAGTTTCGACGGAGGTACCTCTTTGACCCCCACCCCTTTTCTTTTTTCTTCTACCACCCAGGCTTGGAACATCTTAGCCCTAGATGGAAGCAACTGGCAAAGAATAGATCTTTTTAACTTTCAGACAGATGTAGAGGTAAGTTAATTTTGTTTAGCTAACTTTTCAAAAAGATAAGTAACTGCTCTCTCTGTCCTTCCTTTTTTAACTGCATTTTAGATCTAATAGTTAAAGGTCTTTTGATTTTGAGACAGGGTCTCAGTATGTAGTTCCAGCTGGCCTGGGCTGGCCTCAAACTCAGCGATATGCTTGTCACAGCCTCTAGAGTGTTAGGATTACTGGCGTGCGCCACCACACTTGGCATAGTAAAGTGTTCACAACACTTCAGAACAGAAGAGAAAAACCTGGAAGATATTTGTATATATGTCAAGACCAAATTTTCCCTGGTCTTTTTATTTTTGTTCTGCATCCGTGACAGATGGCTTTTCCCCCTTGTTCATGTTCATAATCTGAGTTTTACCCCTCACCACTTCAAAGTCTTGCAGCTCCATCATTAATACCTACCTAGCCCTTTATAGGAGATCTGACAAATGTTTCTTGATGTGAAAGATCTGGGAATTGTAATTTAGCATCAGGAATGGAGACATACCCGAGATGCAGCCCGAGGAGTGAGGTTGGGTATGTGAGTGTCACTCCAGCTTGACTACTTAACTGTATCATCTCTCAGGCCTCTGTTCAATTACCTGCAAAATAAAAAAAGTAATTCTTTAAAATTCTTTCTAATTCTAGGCTTCTGCTCTACCAGGTAAGATTAAAAACAATACCATGTGTGTTTAAATGAAGACTTCTTATAGTGAAAGACACGTCCCCTCACTTTGAGCATACTTACTTTGTTCTTGCCACTTTTTGCATCTTTAGTTGTGCTCTTGTGGCTGCCTCAGTGTCCTAAATTGATTCAAAACATTTACCCTTTGTGGTCATTTTGACTTGAGGAAGAGCGAGAAGTCACACAGTGTCAGGTGCAGTGAACAAGGGTGCTCCGTGTTTTTATGAGCCTGCCTTTCCATTAGATAGCACTTGGCGGTGGCAGTCACAGTTGTGTTGTTTTGTTTTTTTAATCACATCTTGTAAAGACAGGAAAGACTTCCAGAACTGTTTCAGAAAGTTACAATAACGAATGGACAGGTGGGTGTGTTGAGGTGGGGTCGGGGAGTATTTTGAGGGGGATTAATGGCATTGTATCTTAATATAATAAATAATTTAAATTTTTTAAACATTCAACATATATTTGATCACCTCCTATATTTATCCAGAAATACATAAATAATTTAAGAGTGGTAAACCTAGACAGAGTTTATTTTAAAACAACTTCAACATATTCACAGCAGGGCTGTAATTCCTGTGTCTTACTGCTGGGTGGCTTGAGCCATTGGTGGTATGAACAGATCTAATCACTTTTATTGGTCTTTTTAATAAAAATTAATAAAAAGCAACCTGTTGGGATAGTCGGCATGTACCACTGGTGCTTTGAGTAGGCGGGAACACATTAATATTAAATACCATATTTCTAATTAGAAAGCAAGGGTGAGAGTAATAAAGAACATTGCACAGAATAACTGCCTCAAGTGCTGATTTGAGAGTATTGAGAAACCAGGGTTTATTATCTTCCCAGGTTAGTGGAACCTTATTCCTTTCTCATTTAGCCAATTCAGTTACTGTCATGGAATTGCATTTTAATTCAGATAATATTATAGAATGCTTGCCAAATATTTTACCAAGGTGTGTTTTGTGCCTTTTTTAATGGATAAGGAAGTGGTTCTATTTAACAGTGACCTAAGTCCGAGCAATTTCCTCCTAGTTACTTCGCTTGGCGGAACCTAGAAGAACTGATGGCCTGTTGTGGAGGCCCCTTCCCTCCTCCCCTCTGTCTCTTGCACATGAGCAGCCTGGGCTCTGTTAAAGCCAGTGGAGCAGGCACGTACAGCAACTAGGGCAGAGCACGGGAGCTCCACAGACGCTTAGGAGCTCGTTCCTTCCTCTCAGCTGTGGTGCTCTGAGCTTAGCAGGGCGCTGGGATCTAGAGATTCATGTCCATCTTGCAAAGATAAGCTGTAGTTCCTGGCTTACACTGTGGCCCCTGCATCAGGTGTTCACTGTGACTCTAGCAACAGCAGTAATCGTAGTGCCCCCACCCACATGTGCTGGCATTCCAGACCAGCCACTTTCAAAGTGATGATCTCAGTCTTTTGCTCACTGTGTCTTAGTGATATTGAAAAGACCCTTAAATCCTTTAAAAACACAGTCATTTCCAGAGGCCATAAGTCTTGCTCACTGGTCAGTGTTTCCACAGTGGACCTCAGGGAGTCTGATGACTGCTGGGGCACCTTGAGTCTGGAGGGGAAGGGGCCTCACTCAGGGCTGAAGTGATCAAAAGTGCACAGGCGCTTCGACTTTGTGGTTTCATTGAAGACAGCTTTAGAACTAAAGCGCTAGAGGAATGTTCCAAAATATTTTACACTTTTGGAAACATACATGTTTTTGAATTTCATGTTATTCTACTGCTGGGTTAGCAGCATGAAAAAATGATACTTTTTCTAACTTTCTCCATTCAAGGGTCGAGTAGTGGAAAATATCTCAAAGCGATGTGGTGGATTCCTAAGGAAGCTCAGCTTGCGAGGCTGCCTTGGTGTGGGGGATTCCTCCTTGAAGTAAGTCAGATGCACAGTGACCCACTGTCACGGCAGCTTGTAGCTGACATTTTTGTGAGCAAAAATAAATTGAGCACATCATAAGCTTTTCTTTCTAAGACAGTTTGTGTGGAGAAATGAGAGAACCATGACTTTGGAATAATAGGCGAGCTCTACTGTGAGGGTTGCAGTCTTGGGACAAATCATTTCACCTGGCTCAGTGTGACTTCTCTCCCCTGTGAAGCAGGGCAGTTACGATTTACACACAGGAGTGCTGTGAACGTCACATGAAACAACATGTGAAGTGCTTGGTGCATAATGATGATATATTCACCTTTCTCTATTCCCTTCTTTAATTTCCCATCTTCCCAATTGCTTATAAAATTTTATTATTGAAAAAAAGTAATACTTTCCAATTTCCTTACCATAAGGTAGAATTTCGCTTACTCGTACAGGGTGTGCTCATTACGAGCATTTTATTATAGTTAGCAATACACTTACCCAACTATGTGCGCGTCCGCCCTTACTGGATAGCTGTGATTTATTAGGAACATTACCAAGCCATATAACGAATGTGTTCGTTAAGATTTTTGTGGACATGGACAAGGTCAGAACCTTTATGTCTTTATTCTAGTGGCCTCTAGTGTTGCTTCTGAGATTGGCTAAATTAGAACATGACCCCTGGAAGCTTGGCACAGGCCTACATATCGCCGCAGTGGACGTCATTTGCAGGCCTCAAGGAAGAAGGTGCTGTGTACAGTGAGTGCAGACGGTAGATTTATACTTCATGATCTGCTCCATCATCACTGAGGAATTTGGCTCAGCACTTGTACTGATCAAAACACTTTAAATGCTGTGGAGCAAAATATTTTATTAAGAAATTTGGGACTTCATACAAGATTTTTGCCACTTCAAGATCTTTGTAAACCAGTGAAGCTTAAGGGAAGCTTAAATGTCGCAGTAGGTCCTGAGAAAATTTATAATAGAGAACATAAATCTAGTAGTGGTTCTGTTAAAGAAGTTGAGTGTGAAGATATGAATTGTCAAGGAAGCATGTCAAAGAAATACATTCTGACCTTGGCGATTGGGATAAAACCTTATCTACTAGCAAAATAGTCTTTTTTTTTTCCCAATAAGTTTATTGGCACTTTTTAGATATACAGTAGTTACATTCATCATTGGGGTCTTGTACCTTACATGATGTATCGTGGTTCTTATTTTTCCCCTTACCCCTGCCCTCCCTTTCCCCTCCACCCTTTCCTATATACAAAGACTCTGTTTCCATTTTTTCCTTTTCTCATAGTTTTTCTTCTCCCTTCTTTGAAGCTAAGAATGTTTGTTGGTTTTAAAGCAAAAATATGTATTAATTGATTAGATAGCTATGCATTTTTATATGTGAAAATTACATTATTATGAGACACAAGTGCAGTCACAAAGTCATGACTCAGAAGAAATTTTATTATTCCTTCCTCAGCCTTTACTCTCTCCCATGTATGTATTGTTTGGAGGAAGCTATTCCTTTATAAACCATTAGTTGAGCCCTTTCTAGAAAAGATACTGACTTAGGCAATGGAATACAATAGCAAACCAACTAGATTAAAGATAGAACTAATAGACTTTGGATACATTCTCTGTAGCACCTGCTCTATCACTATATAGAAGTCCTGTGGTGTTTTTTTGTTTGTTAATTGGTACTAGAGATCAGACCCAGGACTTTCTCATTTCTCCCAGGGCCTTCTGTTTCCTGTGCTCTTAAATTTTGACACAGGCTTACTACGTCACCTAAGTTGCCCAGACTGTGCTTGAACCTGTGACTCTACTGCCTTAGCCTTGTCCTATGGGTTAACAACTTTATTGAGATGTAATTGAGGTGAAATAGGCTGGACATATTTAAGGTATATAATTTGGTAAGTTTTGATGCATACTTATCAACCAACACGATATATAGCATGTAGTCAGCCCTCTGTATCCAGAAATTCCATGTCCATGTTTTCAGCCACAGATCAAACATATTTTTAAAATTATACTGAACATGTACACTCTGATTTTCTTCTCCTAAACAATACAGTATAGATGGGGATTTAGCTCAGTGGTTCCATCACCTGCCTGGCAAGCGCAGGGTCCTGAGTTCAATACCCAGTACCAAAAAAACAAAAACAAACAAAAAATACAGTATAACCACTGTTTATATAGCATTTATATTGTAGTAGGTACAAGAAATCTAGAGATAAAGATTTAGAGAGGACATTTATAAGTCATATGCAGATACTCTGTCCTTTCAGATAAAGAACTTGAGCAGCCACAGATTTTGATTTCTGTGGGGAGGTCCTGGAACCAGTCCCCTTGATCCTTTTTGTCTGGATCCTTTCAATATAATTTCTTTGAAATTTATCTATCTTGTGTGTATCAGCGATTCTTTCCTTTTCATTGCACAGATATACAGATACTTCTTGAATGATGAGCGGGTTATGACCCTATAAACCTATCTTAAGTTGGAAATATTGCTATGTTGAATGTGTATTTAATATGCCCAACATACATCACAGCCAAGCCTAACCTTAACTGTGTCACAACATGTTAGCCTACAGCTGGGCAAACTACAAAGCCTGTTTTATAATAAGTGTTGATATCTCATATAATTTGTTGAATTCCTGTATCACAAAACTGCCAGCGCCACAGTAATTACCCTGGAGAATTTTAGTTGTTTATCTGGGATCGTGCTGGGAACGATGGCTCTTTGCCACCACCTCGCATCACAAGAGCATATCATACTGCACAGTGCTAACCAGGAAGAAACACCAAATTCAAAATCCAAAATGCAGTTTGTGCTGACTGTGTATTGCTATCATACTATCATATGCCAAAAAAATCCTAAGTTAAACCATTACAGTTGGGGACTTACACTATGTTTATTCCTTCATCCACTTATGGATATTTGGATTACTTCCAGTTTATTATCAGAAATAAAGCTTCTATGAAGCTCAGCCTGGTGGTGCACACCTGGAATCCCAGCACTCTGGGAGGATGAGGTTGGAAGATTCCAAATTCACACTCAATCTGGACAGTTTAGCATGTTCAGACCTAGTTGGAGCAATTTAATGACTTAGCAAAACTTTCAAAGTAAAAAGTAAAAAAGGGCTATGGATGGTGAAGGCCTTGAGTTCAATCCCCAGTGATGACAGATAAATAAGCAAGCAAATAAAGCTACTTATGTGTGTGTCTTTGTACGATACATGCTTTCATTTTTCCTGGATAAATACCCATGAGTTGAATAGGTAGAACATTTGGTAGGTATATGTTTAATGTTTAAGAGATTTGCAAACTGTTTCCCAAAGAGATTGTACCATTTTGTATTTCCACCAGCAATATGTGATACTTTTGGTTCTTCCACATTCTTGCCAACATTTGGTACGGTCAGTCTCTTTGAATTGTATTCATTTAGTAGATGTGTACATGTTATAGTATTGCTTTAATTTTCCTTTCTCTGAGGTGTAAGATTACTCTCTCTCCTGATGCAATTTAGCATCTTCTAATAAATTTGTTTTCTATCTGTATATCTTTGGTGAAATATCTGTTTGCTTTTATTAGATTGTTTTCTTAACCATTGACTTTTTGTCAGATGACCTTTTTATTGAATATTTTCCTATGCTGCTTAGCTAGCTGGACACTCCCCTGCACCATTATTGATATCATCTGTGACATCAGGAGGGGCTGGCCGTGGACATTGCAGCCTGAAGACTGGGCAGCTCTGGGGTCTCTTTAATGGTTCCAGAAAGTGCTCGTCTCTCAGGCAGTGTTGAGAATCTCATCAAAAGTGATATTTCCACTGTGTTTAGTATTTTTATGTTTCTGCTGTCTCTTGGTGGCTCCTTAAGGGCCTTGATGATCAGGGCAGAGGCAGAAGGCACCACCTCCATCGGGGCCTGTCCTGGCTGGTCAGACATTTCCATTCACCAGTTTCCTTGGCAACATCATCCTCATCTTTTGGAGACAAACCCAGGGGGCCAGTTTTGGGGGCAAAGGCAGATGTGGTGCTGTCCTCCCACTGGTGTACCTCAGGTACATGACTTTGATCTCACTGGGCCAGACTTGGGCGGCATAGTGGAGGCGGCTGGTGCCACATGAACCTGGATTTGGGACAGCTGAAAAAAGTTGCACCTTAGCCTCCTCCAGCCAAAAGCTGGAGTTGACTTTTTCAAGTTTTTTGTTTGTTTCGTTTTGTTTTGTTTTTTGGTACCGGGGATTGAACTTGGGTCCTTGCGCTTGCAAGGCAGGCCACCGAACCACTGAGCTAAATCCCTGGCCCTCCTTGAGTTCTTAATATGTCCTAGATACAAGTCCTTTGTCAGGTATGTGTTTTGTAAATATTTTCTCCCAGTCTTTGACTTATTTTTTCATTCTCTTAACTCTATTTTGAAGAGAAGTTTTTAATTTTAAGTTGTTTTCGGTTTTCTCATGTGGACATTTCTTTTGGCATAAGAAATTGATGCCTCACCCAAGATCTTAATGACTTTCTCCTGTTTTTCTTTAGAAGTTTTGTGGTTTGGGACCATGTTCCATTCCTACAAGACTTTTAGATATGGTATAAGGTCTGCACTGAACTTCTCTTTCTGGCATATGGATGTCCAATTGTTCTAGCACGATTTCTTGAAATTAACAGTCTTTCTCCACTGAATTCATTTTGTGTTTGTTGGAAGTCAGTTTTCTGCAGTGTGTGAAACTGTTTTTGTGGTCTTTATATTACAGCAGACCACACTATCTTAGTAACTATAGCTTCATAATGGCTTGAAGTCAGGTAGTGTTAGTCTTCCAGCTTATCTTAAAGATACTTTGGCTACTCTAGGTCTATTGCATCTCCCTATAAATTATAGAATCAGCCTGTCAGTTTCTATAAAACAGCCTGCTGGGATCATGATTCAAATAATGCTGAATCCATAGGTCAGTTTGGGGAGAACTGACATCTGAACAATATTGACTCTTCCAACCTATGATTATGATATATCTCTCAATGTATTAGCTGC